AGCCAGCAACTTGTTACAAGCTGTTGATGACAACTTGTTACAAGCTGTTCCCTGGACAAGCCTGTTACAACTTGTTCAACAAGTTGCTACAAGCTTGTTAAGCCAACAACCTGTTGACAGCTTGTGCGTTTTTATGTGTGTAATGGTCTGCTTCCCTCCCCTGTTCACATGCCATTCACACAGGCCTCGGACACCCGTAGAGCACCAAGTACGCCTTCTTTTTGGCCTTCGACTTTACTTTGTACCGAATTGGCCCCTGCAAAATCCACTCCCAGGACTCAAAAAAAGGTGCTGAGCCCTCTGTTTGCATGGAACGAAGATTTCCACCAGTAAATGGTACACTTGGCTTCAAAATCTCACACATCCATAGCACTTACTTTGAACTTGCTTTACCGTTCTCGGACTTGTGCCATTGTTGAGGCCACTCCACCGTGGAGTGCAGTAAGATGAGCCTGCTCCACGGTCTTTTTGGTAAAGGTGCAGTTTTCAGGCAGGAACGTAGGGTATTGCCCTGCAATTCTCCCTCTACACTCAAACACTTCCACGTCGTTCGGTTGAAGGTTAAACAGCAACTTCACACTTTCGACCTTGCCGCTCTTTTCTGCCTCTCGCTTTACCGACCAGGTGGTTTGTTCTTCAATTTCAGCTGTTTCCAATGGGCCATACTCTCTGTTTTAATGGCAACCTCCACAATTACGAATGAACCGTCGGATCCAATCCTGAGAACCTTTCATAACGGAAACGTTTTGGGTAGCTTATCAAATTCGTCTCTACTTGGTTTGGACAACTTCAACGCTTGGACCCTACATATGCACTTTGATTCTTCCTTTGCGTCCGGGCTTGGTTCTGGAATGACTTCCGGTGGCCTCTTTGATTTGTCTCCTAACCAATGTGGACCGCATTGGCATAACCTGTTGTTGGTGATATCTTGGTAATGCGCGGCTTCCGAGATCAGGCAGATTTTGGTCCATGGGTATGTGATGCCACAACACTTGCTCGTGTTGCCTGATCTTTCTCACACGGTTGGCAACGAATTGGTAATACTCGCCAAGCCCTTTGATCCAGTGCCACTGTGGAGTCCAGCCAGCAATGCATTGTCTCACTTTCTCTGCTCCAATTACCATTTCAACATTCGTTACTAGGTTGACCGCCATGTGGCCTGCAACAAGCTTTAGCTGGGGAATTGTTATGTTTTTGTTGGCCAACCGAGATTTCGAAGGCACTAGACCCTGTGTTGTTTGTACCTTGTTCTTGTTCAACTACAGCGTACACTGCTGCAGAGACTCCAACCTTGCTGGCGTGGCAGACAGGTGTTAGAACATACCTTCTTTGCTTTTTTAACCTTTTGTTGCTCAGTTTCTTTAGATTTTTTTTGCTTGTTTTTCTTCCGGAGCCTTCAGCAATACAGAGTCACGACAGATAATGGTATAGTGTATTTGTTATACATGTTGAGATGAAATTTATAGTTTTAAAAGCACATGTTAATTAAAAAGAAAAAAAAACATTTACTTAATATGTAGCTTCAAACTTGCTTCAAACTCCTCATTCCGGAAAGCCACCAGCACACTTGCCCCTCGAATAATATCGCCTTGTAATACTTTAAGAACTTTTGTTGTATCCAAAATAGTTGTTGTTTCGTCAGCACTGAAAAATATCAGCATTGGCTTTGCTGGTTTAGAGAGTAATCTACGAGAAGAGTATCGCTTGTACCAGATAAAATTTGTTAAACTTTGACCGATCAGCAACAGGACGTCCATCTGTCTTTGTGGTCGGTATAGTAATAATAATAATAATATTGATAATGATAATGATGATGATGATGATAATGATAGTGATAGTGATAATTATCATAATAATAATAATAATAATAATAATAATGATGATGATGATGATGATGATGATGATGACGACGACGACAATAATAATAATAATAATAATGGAAACATCAATTTTATTTTGTGAATTACAAAACTGCAACCTCAATCTCTGTAGTACAGGCAGAAGGCTGCAAATTATGGTACAAGCTATGGAGACTAAAAGTTACAGGATACAGTTAAAAATATTAAAATATGATTATATATGTACAAATAAAACAGAAGCATTCTACTACCATGTTAATAGAATGGGATCAGTCCATTCCTTGTCCTTTCGGCAGAATATATAATAACTTGTTCGAATGCAACATGCACATATTTTATTAATTAAGTATTTAGTTTTTAGATTGTCTAAATGCAAGTCGTTTGATAAAAAGTAAAAAAATGAACGACTGCTCTTTCCTATAATTCCTAAGGCTCCAACTGATATATTTACAAACTTCACTTTGTTATACTGATTTCTTAGATCAGAGCATAATGCACTATAATGATTGTGTTTACGTACAGCGTTGTCTTGAATTCTGGTCTAAAAACCGACAGTTAATTCTAAAACAAATAGGCAACTCCGTTGTTTGTCTATAACTATGATATCAGGACGTCTTTCTTCTCCAATAATGACAGAGGGGCTCATATAGCCCGTGAGATCATAGTATACTTCAATGTTATTCGTGATTGACAGCAAATAGTCAGCTATAATCTTTAACACAGAATTATGTCTCTAAGTATAGCGACCCTCTTCTAGGTGGACTTTACATGCTGAAACGACATGTTGAAGAATTTGCGTGTTGTAGCATACAGTACATAAAGCATTTTCGCTTTTCTTCCAAAGAAACATATTCTTTAAGGTTGGCAAGGTATTGTTTAGGTAGTGGATGCAAAAATTGAAAATGTTCTTGGGTAGTTTGTTGAGAATTCGATGCCATTGTTTCACATCTGATGCAAGAGTTTCCTGCCAAAGGGCTTTAACAACTATACACTGTGAAACAAGCTTGTTCACTTTGTTTAATTTCTTGTCTCTGATTTCCTTCAGAACTTCCCGACAATTATTGAAACGATCATATTGAATGTTACAACTCGATCTTGTACTACTGTATACATGTCTAGCGTCTTCATTAGTCGAGTTCTTTAATTGATTTCTAAAAGATACCTGACACTGAGCATGCTTAGTGGAAACATCAGTAATGTTTCAGCCAAACTTTGTTCTTGCCAAAAGAACAATGTCAAGAGTACCATTGGGAGGAATCTCTAGCCATCTACGTAATTTATTATGACACAGGTTATCTAAATTTTCTTTTATCCATGTCTTTTCAATAGCAGCGATAGTTAAATGCCAAGAAAGTTTTGTCATTAACTAATGCTGATAGAGTTCCAATTTGTATTTGGGGTGTAACAGCAACAGGTCTATCTTCTTGAGAACATTTTCCACTATATCTAGAAGTTCCTGCTTGTGAGCACTGTTATCCATCTCAAAATTGAAATATCTTCCTAAGTACTTTAAATTCCCACCCTTATCAACTGCTGGAACTGGCTGAGTATTTACAAAAACTTTCGGAAACGTCTGATTGGTTGCGGAATTCACTTTCTCTACACCGAATGTTTTGCATTTGTCAACTCTGATTTTCATATCACACCGAATACCACGCAGTAAAAGCGTTTAACAAGATCTGATTTTCATACGTTTGTGTCGTTAGACTTAGTGGACTTAGGCAGTCACCTTGTAAGATGCCTTTTTCAACATGTATAAACTCTGTGCTGTAGGAATCAGTAATTACTATTGGCAATTCCGCCCTGAAAAATAGATCAGAATTTGACCACTCACTATCCAATTTTGGCAACTTTATACCTGGTTTAAGATGCGGATTCTCAGCTGGCATAGCTTCGTCTGGTTCAATCTCCCCGTCCTCGCTCATCTTGTCATCCATTGTAGCTATTTCTTCACCAAGCCCAGCAATAAAATGGCAGGATCGTTGATGCTTTTTCAACCCTCTCAGACCTTTGCAGTGTTTTCCACAAGCACATTTAACGCCACTCGTATTAGTAACTTGAACAGTTAATACTTCACTTGCCCCATCGAGTAGGCGGCCTTGCTCCGAATCTAATGTCCATAAAGTCTGTTCGTTCGCTGTAGTTGATGAATCCCTATCTTCTTGCTCTCCGAGCTTTGCTTTGCATCTCCATTGATGTCGTCCAAGACTTTTAAAATCCAAACCACAAAATGTACATACAACAAGGACCGCAATCAATCTCAGTATCGATACACGTTTCATAATTATCAAGTGCAAAGTAAAAATGAAACACAAAGTGAAGGATATTGCTTGTACCAGATAAATTCAGTTAAACTTTGACCGACCAGCAACAGGACGTCCGTCTGCCTTCGTGGTCGGTATAATAATGAACGGTATAATTATTATAATAATAATAATAATAATAGTGGTGATAATAATGATAATGATGATGATGATGATGATGATGATGATGATGATGAGGATGAGGATGAGGATGACGATGATCATAATCATAATGATAGTGACAGTGAGAATGATAGTGATAGTGATGATGATGGTGATGATAAGAATAAGAATAAGAAAAAGAATAAGAATAAGAACAGGGGTAAGAATAAGAACAAGAATAAGAATAATGGAAACTTTATTAAAGGTTTTCTTATTTACATATAGTCGTGCAATTATAAATCTCACTTATTTAGGTAATTTATAATTGGCTAGTTGAATCACAACTAAATAATATGTTTATATATATAATAACGACTGTTTTGTAGACGCCACATCTCTCGATTAAACTCGTAGACTGATATTCATACGGTTTCTATATTATACAAAGTTACAAAAATTAAAGGTACCGGTACATAATACATTTACAATTATTTACACATACACATTACTTACAATCACGTTTGAATCCTTCGGTTGTTCATCTACATGTCTCTGGTTCATCCACACCCTTTGACGGTGTGCAGTCAAAAGCACAAAGTTCTTCCTACGTGTTATTACGCAACATGCATAATTAAATTAAATAACGGAAGTTACATATCCCGGCCCCTTGAAATATCTTGGGGCGAAACGTATCATTTCACACAAGTGTTTCAAATAAGTCATTACAATAATACATTTAAAGTTCATTCGCTCCTTCCAATAGAATGCACTTGTCTATTGGTCTTTCTAAAACAGCCAATTTAGTTCTTAACTTTACCTTTCTTACTTGACCTTTGGCATCAGGGTATACATCAATAATTCTTGCTAAGGGCCAAGTACACCTTGGGGTTGTTGTATCAACCATTAAGACAACATCATTCGGTGCGAAATTTTTACGAGAAGCGTTCCGTTTTTGTCTTTCTTGCAATAGTGGCAGATATTCACGGGTCCAGCGTTGCCAAAACTGGTTTGCTAAATATTGAATCTGTCGCCATCTTCTTCGTGAGTAACAATCATGTTTTGTAAACATTCCAGGTGGTAAGGTTGGTCCGGAGCGAAGTAGAAGGAGGTGGTTCGGTGTTAATGCTTCTAAATCTCTTGGGTCATTTGAGACAGCTGTAAGTGGTCTCCCATTCAAAATTGATTCTACCATCAACATTGGTAGGCTTTCGTCATCCAAGCTTTGTTGGCGAAGTAAGGCTGCTAATATCTTTCGCACAGACCTTATACACCTTTCCCATATTCCACCGTGATGTGAACCTCCAGGGGGGTTGAAAAGCCATTGTGTTTCGCGTTGAAGAAGGAACTCGTGAATCTGATTATGATTCCAAGCTTTGATTGCTAATCGAATCTCTTTCTCCCCACTGACAAAGTTGGTACCGTTATCGCTTCTTATCTTTACTGGATTGCCTCTTCCTGCGATAAAGCGACGTAAGGCATTTATGAATGAACTTGTGTCCAATGAGTGGGTTATTTCAATGTGAATCGCTCTGGTTGATAAACAAGTAAAGATGCATCCATATCTCTTAACTTTTGCTCGACCTCTTTTGACGAGAAACGGTCCAAAGAAATCGACTCCAACTTCGGTGAATGGTGGTTGATCTGCAGTTACTCTTTCTGTGGGCAAGTCTGACATTTTCTGCTCCCCTGGTAATCCTTGTCTTTTACGACAATCGACACATCTGCTAAGTAATCTTCTGACGGTAGAATTTGCGTGTATTACCCAGAACTTGCCTCTCAGTAGCGATAGTACGTATTCTCTACCCGAATGTCCAGATATCTGATGATAATGGCGAACGATAAGATCAGTAACGTGATGTCGTTTTGGAATAATTATCTGGTGCTTAGCATCTTCAGGAACCAAAGCACGGTGTAATCGACCACCAACTCGTAATAAATCGTCAATTAAAAGTGGATCCAACTTGAATATTGTACTGGTTTTCTTTATTCTCGTTTTTCGCGTTGACTTGTTACTTGTATGAAGACATGCTAGCTCTTCGGAAAAATTTGTTCTTTGAACGTGTTTTAACAACTCTTTCTCTGCCGTTTTTATCTCATTCACCGTGATAGACTTAATGACATTTTCCCGATTGTTCTTACGCGGTAATTTCTGTTTTCTGTTACGACACGCTTTGAAGAGGTTTTCTTTATATCGCAGAATCCAAGCAATAAATTTCTTCAACCGATTCCATGAAGAGAATTGCTCAAAAATTCGATCCACCAACTTAACGTCTTCTGTAAACGAGGCATACGTTATTGCATCCTTTTTTACTTCAGGATCGTCAGAGGGAACTTCTCCAATGCCATTGGTTCGGTTTGGCCATTGTGGAGCTGGTTGCCATAGAAATTGCGGTCCCTGCAGCCACCTTGTGTTGTTAAGGAAGTTATCAGCAGTCAAACCTCTTGATGCGTCATCCGCCGGATTGGATTTCCCATCAACGTGTTTCCACTGCGACGAAGATGATCCGCTTCGAATAGCGCCGATCCTGTTCGAGACGAAGGTATTGAATCGCTTATCTTGGTTCTCGACGTATCGGAGGACTGACGTACTATCAGTCCAGAACATCGAATTATCAACTGGTAAATCCAATTCTCTTCTTTCCAATTTGTCAAGTCGAACTGAAACAGTTGCAGCGGATAGTTCTAATCGGGGCACTGTCATGGGCTTCAGTGGGGCAACCCGCGATTTTCCGATAAGAAATGCACAGTGGATGCGTCCATCTCTGTTAACAATTCGCACATACGAGACTGCACCATATGCGTTTAGAGATGCGTCAGAGAAATGATGTAATTGGCACAATACGATTTGACCAAAATCAGTGGGTTTTAGACAACGATTGACCATAAACCCGGATAGCTCTGCCAACCATCTCTCCCAACGTATCCGATATTCCTCTGGTATTGGCTCGTCCCAATCAATTCCTCGACGACAAAGTTCTTGCAAAATAAGTTTGGCTGGTAAGATAAACGGTGCTGCTAGACCCAATGGATCATAGATCGAGGTGACGATGGACAAGATTCCACGTCGGGTTGATAGTCGAGATTTGACGGTGATTTTAAAGCCAAATACGTCCAGTTGGATATTCCATTGTATTCCTAGGGCTCTTTCGATAGGTAAATCTTCTAGATCAAGATTATTTACAGTGACAGCTCTTTCTGATTCTTGAATAGATTCGAGAACAGGACGAGAGTTGGATAACCACTTCGTCAAACGGAAGCCCGCTTTCGCCAGGAGTTGTTGGAGTTCATGTACCAGTGTTATTGCAGTGACGTTGTTTTCTACGGATTTTAAACAATCGTCCACATAAAAGCTTCGTCTCACCGTTTCGATTGTTTTATCGTTGAATGATTCGACGTGATCTTCTGCGGTTCTTTTTATCGCGAAACTGCAGCAGCTTGGTGACGATACTGCACCAAAAAGATGTACTCGCATCCGATACTCAACGGGGTCTTGAGTTAAATCGCTTTCAGGCCACCAAAGAAATTGTAAATAATCTCGATGATCGGGAAAAACGCGAACTTGGTGAAACATTGCTTCAATGTCACTCATCACAGCCACGGGATCTTGTCTAAATCTCATCAAAACGCCAACTAAGGTATTGGTCAGGTTGGGTTCAAATAAAAGTTGGTCGTTGAGCGAGACATCGTGATATTTTGCGGAACAATCAAATACTACTCGTAATTTTTTTTTTGTGGGGTGAAATACTGGGTGATGCGGCAGGTACCAAACGTGTCCATCTGACCGATAACGCTCTTGTTCCGGGATTCTTTCGGCGTAACACTTCTTTAATAAATCTTCAATAAATTTAGAGTAACCTTCAAATAATTGTTGATCTTTGGCGAATCTTCCTTTAAGAAGGTTTAAACGATGCTGGGCTAAGGACTTGTTATCAGGTAAACAAGGTGGTGTTTCAGTTCTCCACGGCAAAGCGATCTCGTAATGCCCGTCATTCAATCTAACTGAATTTTTCATAATATCGTACGCTTTATGATCCTCTTGGGAGAATTCTAGCTTCCACTCATCAATTGTATCATTAAATTCTCTGTTGCAAAACTGTTCGAATTGTTGAGTAAGCTTAGCTTCAGTCTTAACGAAATTTGAAGATCTTGTTGTGCAACTATTCTGTCTACCAAGTGGTCCGTTCAGCGTCCATCCAAACTGAGTTCTGACAGCGTATGGTCCTCCGTTCTCTGCCTTTCGTATTTCTTCTGGTTCAAGTGCCTTGATGTTATCGTTGCCAATCAATAAGCCAACTTCCGCGTTTATGTGATTTAGCTTTATTCCTTGTAGATGAGACCATCTATCAACATCAGCTTGCTTGGGAATATCAGCTGGACTGACGGGCATTGACGGCATCATAAACACTGTTGGCAATTCAATAAAGGCGTTTTCTTCTAGGTCGCACAGCTCGAGACTGATGATAGAACTTTTCGTTTCTTTATTCCTCTTTGCCATAGTGGTTAATGAGAATTTGGTTATCTCGCCCTTCAAGCCGAGTAGATCTTTTAGCGCTTCGGTGCAAAACGTGGTGTTAGAGCCACCGTCTAACAGAGCGTAAGTCAATACGAAATCATTTGGACTTCCAGGTCTCGCAGCTTTAACTTTAACCGGTACGATTGACAAACCCACGGTTGGTCTCGGTACTTCAATGGCCGTACAAGATCCTTTCTCCTTATTCAGTTGACCGATTTTCATAAAACTTTCATCAGTTTGAACGTGCCGCTCGACGATCTGTCGCTCGACGATGGGTTGATCATTTGAACGCCAATTTTCGTTTTTCGATGCAGGCGAAGGATGCAACATTGTAGAATGTCTACGACCACACTCTCTACATCTCCTCTGTCTTCGACAATCCTTCGCCATGTGGTAAGGAGTAAAGCAATTGAAGCAGAGTCCCTTTTTCTTAACCAATTCGATGCGTTCTTCATATGGCATGGTTCGAAATGTTGCACATTCTTCCAGTGTATGAGCTTGATGACAAATGATACAATTCTTGGTTAATCGGTTCTGCTCATTGTGACGTGTCCTTTCGCTCGCTACGTTCTTCAAGAATTTATCGAAGTTCGAACCAGTATTGGTATGAAAACTTGTACCCTTGAGCTTTCCGTCACCAGGTGTCTTCCCTTGTTTGCCAGTACTTGGGTAATCTATTGAAATGTCACCAAATATGGGATGATTAGCTATATGTGCTTGTTTCTCCACAAAACTGGAAATATCGCTGAAAGAAATTTCTCTGTCTTCTTCTTCTGTGATGTTATCTGCCTTGATACGCCACTTCTTTCTAGTATCGTAGGGTAGTCTCCCAATGATCATCTTTAAAGTTTCAGGATTTTCCACTTTGTTTGTATAGCCAATTTCTTTAAGAGTATTCAAACATGACTTTAGTTGAACTGAAAATCGTTGCAGTGCTGGGCCGTCTTCTCTTTTAATTGGCGGTCCTTTAGTTATCTTCTCTACGTACACCGTGGTAATTCTGTCCAAACCGTTTCTTTAGCAGTTGCTTCGCTTCAACGTAACCTTTATCAGAATCCATGGCCAAACAGCTAGGCATCAGCTGGAACTCATCGTATTGGCTTCGATTATATTTTCAAAGGCTCGAATGAAGTTGGAATATTCCATCGCATCGCCACCGAATAATGGTACTTCTGCTTTCGGTAATGACAACGCCATAGAGTTCATTTGCTGCTGAATAAACAGATCATTCAAGTTTAAGGCGCCCTTTGATTGAGTTTGCATCAGTTCAATCAATTGTTGTTTTGTGTTATAAATTTCTTTGTTATTGTCCGGTTTTAATAGGTATTTAGAGTCCGGTTTCATGTTTGACTTGATCTCTAGTTTCGTTCGGTCGGGCCTGGATGACGTAGCTCTTGACGACGGAACATTAGTATTAATCTTGGTGCCTTTGTCGGCGCGCTCGGCTGCTTCGGCTTCGGTAAAGACTTGCTCTCTCGCAACGCATTGTGCTAATTCAGATTGCAGTGTTAATCGTTCTTTTTCCTGCTGCAAACGCATACTTTCTTCTTCTAGAACTTGCTTATTATGCAACGACTGAAGTTTAGCCTCCAGCGCCCTTCGGTTTGCGGCTTCTTCGACCAAGCGTAACCTCGTTGAACTCGATGTTGAAACCGTAGACTGTTTGCTGATTCCCGTTTTTACGCGAGAACTTACTTGACTAACGGAGTCTTCAGGTTGAATTTCGTACTGACTTCTATTTTTTAATTCCACGTCTTTAATCAATGACTCGACTGCCTTATCCGACAGTATAGCTTGTTCATATTGTTCTCTATAATAACAATCGGATTGTTCGATCTCGCTTTGTTCATAAAGTTGGCTGTGAATATTTATGTGAGCTGAAGTGAAATTATTAAAGACTTCGTCAATTTCTTTCTGCTTACTCTTTATCTCGTCAATGTTATCATCGTCTTTCATTAATTCGAGAAGTTCCTTTTGTTTTCTCGTCAATGTAGCCTTGTAGCCCGATCTGTTTCGCTGAAGTTGCAGAATTCTTTTGTTCACGACTGATATGTCTTGAATTTGGGCCGCATAGCGTCTACTGCTCACATCATTTAAGTTTGTATCTTCCTCACTCAGGTTTTGAGTGGCCATTATCTTGTATTGATCATCGTGATTAAACTAATGTAGACGCCACATCTCTCGATTAAACTCGTAGACTGATATTCATACGGTTTCTATATTATACAAAGTTACAAAAATTAAAGGTACCGGTACATAATACATTTACAATTATTTACACATACACATTTCTTACAATCACGTTTGAATCCTTCGGTTCTTCATCTACATGTCTCTGGTTCATCCACACCCTTTGACGGTGTGCAGTCAAAAGCACAAAGTTCTTCCTACGTGTTATTATGCAACATGCATAATTAAATTAAATAACGAAAGTTACATGTTTAGTTATATACTATGTTTATATGCATATTTATTTTATATTTAGTTGTTGATTAATAATATACAGTTAATAAGGACTGATAAGTTAGATTGACATTTTAAGTAATTACTATGATTAGGAATTAGGACTGCATGCAAACCAGAGGAAGAGAGCATTTACTGAGAAAGGACTGTTTAACGATTGCTCACCTAGGTAACGAAGTTTACTAACATTTATGTGTTGAAAGATTGGATATTGTCACAGAAGTAAGTTAATGTTTATTTTGATACTGTTAACTCATTGCCGTCCGATCAGATGACATTTCGAAGTGGTTTGCTGATTATAACTTGCGATTCCTGTTCGAATACTTGACCGATTTTAACAAAAATAGGAGCACTTTAAAGAAGAAATTGTCCTCAGTAGATGCATGTTTTTTTTATATCGATATGTTGTCAATTCGCTAAGATATTCACTTTAAAGTGCATGTCGTTTTTATATTATTCAATATTGCACAGCAAAGCGGCCTAATCCTTAAAATATTGCCCAAAATGCACACAAACACTGGTTGCAGTGGTTTCAAGTGGTGGCATTCGAGTTGGAGGGCGCATTTTAGAAGCTGTTGTGTCATACAACTGTAAGCATCCAGATTTGGTAGCTCATGATCACTGGATCGCGCAGTTGATCACCTGTCACACGCACCAGTTTAGACATAATGGAGTGGCAACAACGACAGCGAAAACACAACGTAAATACTGGATCCTAAGAGCCAATGATCTTGCCAAGTCTGTCAAGTACTGTTGCGTATTCTGCCAAGAGATGGAGCACAAAGTCAAGTAATAGTACATGGCGGATCTTCCACAGCTTCGTCTAGCACTTAATACGCCACCGTTCCATCATACAGCATGCGACTACTTTGGACCATTGATTGTAAAGATTGGACGCAACAAAATGACAAAACACTATGGTGTTGTTTTTACTTGTCTAAATACAAGAGCAGTTCACCTCTAGTTAGCAGTTGATTGTTCGACAATGGAGTTGCAAGTTCTTCATAGGTTCTTTTCGATCAGAGGACAGCCAGCCCTTATAATGAGCGATAATGGAACTCAATTTGTTGGAGCGGAATGCGAACTACAAGAAACGATTGCCGGTTGGAGCAAAGAACAACTCCAAGAGTTCTGCACAGAAAAGGGATGGAGTGGAAATTTATCACCCCAAATGCGCCCCACCACATGGTGAAGAGCTGTAAGAGAGCCCTGAAGAAAGCGATTGGAGATCAAACGTTGACACCGTTTGAGCTGTACACCTACTTGCTAGAGTCTGCTAACTTAGTTAACCAACGACCCATTGGTAAAGCACCCAATAATCCTGACGATGGATCATACCTATGCCCGAACCACATATTGCTTGGCCGCGCTACGTCAGAGGTACCTCAAGGTCTGTTTAAGCCGACTAGAAACCCACATGATAGATATGAATTCATGCAGAAGCTGGTCGATTCGTTCTGGAAGCGCTGGACTCGTGGTGTGTTCCCATCATTCATGATAAGAAAGAAATGGCAGGTTAAACAAAGAAACGTACGAGTGAATTATGTTGTAACATACGTCGAGGACAATGTGATACGAAGAAAGTGGATGCTGGGTCCGATTTTTGAAGTATATCCTGGTCAGGACGGTCGTATCAGAAATGTAAAAGTGAAGACAGCGGTTGGAGAATATGTTCGACCAGTGACCAAGATTGCCGTGATCTATCCAGCAGAAGGCTACCATGATGACGATTAGAAAATGTATCCCCTTTTGGGGCAGGGAGGATGTTTTGTTACATACAATGTTTATATGCACATTTAGTTTAGTTATTGATTAATAATATACAGCCAATAAGGACTGATAAGTTTGATTGACATTTTAAGTAATTACTATGATTAGGAATTAGGACCGCATGCAAACCAGAGGAAGAGAGCGCTTACTGAGAAAGGACTGTTTAACGATTGCTAACCTGGGTAACAAAGTTTACTAACATTTATGTGTTGAAAGACTGGATATTGTCACAGAAGTAAGTTAATCTTTGTTTTGTTACTGTTAAACGTAGTATGTTAAATGTAGTAGGTATTATTATATGCATGGTAAATTGATCTTTATATAGTATATTACATAGCTTTATTTTGTTTATTAACTTTAGATCGAATTGTTTGTTTGTTTTCAAATATAATACAATTGCAATATTCGGTCTCTGTATCTATGGTTTATCGACATCGTGAACCAACAACTATTAAATTACTATATCCTAAGTAAAGCATGCAAATTTTTGTACATGTGTTTCAAAAAGCTAACATTTCTGGGCTTCCCCATTCCTTATTTCGACAACAAAATATAAAATAAGTACTTCTGATGGCTATTGTTCTCATTTTATTTATGCAATATGTTTGCTATTTCTTGTCAAGCCCAATCTTATCTAACATATCTAAGAAACTGGAGCACTCACTTGCAAAAACACCTAAAGAACTTATTGAAAGATTAATTAATTTAACATCACAGAAATGCTGTCTTTGTTCTCTTACCAGTTCTCTATATTTGTGTTCTTTCCGCTAAACGTTGTTGTGAAGGTTTGTTTCATAGCCATGGGTCAGTTCAACCACACAGAGGGTGCCATTCGGGTGTGATATTAGAGTGGTTTAGCAAACACAACGTGACGTCGTCTAAGACATGAAAATGGCGTGGCAAGTGTCCGCTTACTTTTAGTTTTATCTAGGACGGTATTTTAGGCGATTTTAGGATGTGAGATCTTGTTATTTGACCTTGTCTCTAGGACGCCAATTTGAATCTTCTTTTTTCTTGCAAAAAGGTAAGGAAGTTAGCCAAAATTTGTTTTAAATATAATTGGAATTTCAACTTGTTATGTATTGACAGTCACAGTGAATTTTGCAAAACACATGCTTGAAATATTAGTGTTTTAAAAAAATATCGATAGGCGAGCAGGGGTTTCCTCGCGTTGTTTCAAAATATTTATTATATTTACTTCCTACTTTAATAAAGGAACTCTATTTTACGTTTTTCTTTTGTTATTTAATATCATTTGCAGACAAAACATTGAATTTAGGGCTATTTTTACTTCAAAATATGACAAGTTTTCTCGATGGCATTTCCTGTTTCTATTTCATACGAAATCAAGTAAATTTCTTGTTTTGAATAGGTTTTATAGTATGGACAAGGAAGAAGAGTTTTCCTAAAAAAAAGTACAAAAAAGTAAGTTTAAAATAAAGAAATAACAACAATAAAGCAACTGGTATAAAAAATATGAAACAAAAAAATATTACTTCACAAAGGTTACTTCAAATCATAATGTATAGTAAAAAATACAGTAAATTAGGTTTTTGCAATCCTATAAACCTTGAATGTCATACTTTAAACAAAGTATTTTATCATCA